TTGTAACCGGATTCTAAGTAGGATTTATGCAGGATTTAGGCTAAATCCTGACAAACAACAAAATGCACCTCCGTAAATCTCGAGGGGTTGTTTTGCTGCAAGTGGGATTTAGTTTAAATGGGATTTAGTAAATCTTGCAAATCCAAATTTATCAAATCTGAGAAGTGTTTAGTATGTTAGTAAATCTTAAGAAACTGTTTGGTAGAATTTAATAGGGTTTACCGGGATTTAGTTAAAAGAAAGTTTTTATGGAAAATAAAATAAATATTATACAAAATCAGTTATTACGTTCCAAGAATCATTGGTCTTCACTTGTATAACAAAAATTATATTATCACTTTAAAGAGAGTTTTTAAGTAATTATAGTAATATGTAATCAATTCTTGCATCTCATTGTATTCAATTAAATGATAAATTAAAGAGACATCAAAACATTCTTCATCACAACGAACTAAATGCAAACTTATCTCGGCTATCAAGAATAAAATTAAGGTGCATTTATATACATACCACGTAAACCTATATATTTACATATCTAACACCTAACCATTCATATTTATAGGCATGCCACTCAAATCTTTTCACATAAAAAATAACATCGTTACTATTTTTGTAGAAATGAATGCATGAAAATGAAATTAGATGCAAGAATCATTAGTATGTATGTAAATGCCAAAAAAAAAAAGAACAAAACTTGCATTCACTAAAAAAGAATGACTTAAAATAGTCGTATATATTTCAATAGTACTGGCTGAAGAAACCGATGCTATCATAGTAAAAACAAAAGATATGTTATCGTTTAATTTAAAGTATAATTGTGCAGACCATCTAAAATCATAAGAGTCCACGGAAGTTAACAAAGTTCTTTATTATCTCTAAACAAACATTCTAAAAATAAGGTTACAGCAGAATCATACTATAATTTTATGTTTACGACAAACAAATAAAATATGTAGGGCACAACTTAACAAAAAAATATAACTAATTTGCAACAATAAAGATAGGTCGGATTTCAAACATGAATGGAACACAATAAAAGACCGCTACATCTCCATATAATATAGGTGACGCCCAACCTTATGAAATAGATTAACGTCTTCGACTCAACTCTGTAAAAAATAGAAATAATAATAATTATATATTATCTTTTAGAAGAAATAAATATAATTTTCTTAATAATGGTTCTTACATGTGCTCCCCAAATATTGCTGGCTATTTCATGTTTTACATCTTCCATTGAAATCTCTCACCAACAGTTGTATGAAAATCTGGATTTTTATCGTTGCTTTCTACCTTACCATATTGATTATCATATTCCAACTCATTTTGCATTCTATTGAAATACAAATCATGCCAATAGTGGCGACCAATAGATTATGTGATACTGCGCCAACAATCAAAATATATGTTTTAACCGATATTGGAATTTACCCATATGTGTTAGCACTTGAAATTTTGCTTTCTAAATGCCAAAATTCATCTCAATAACATTTCATAACTGAGCATGTATGATTATAAAATTCTTATTCCACTGATTATCTTCTAGAGACACTATCACGATATTCATCCAAATGATAAAGGTAACTTCTGAACAGTGCCATGGGTCTGTCTGTATTTGCATATCCAAAATATTCCAAGTAAACTTTTTTATCTAGTGTTCTTAAGTCTCACTCCAATACCAAATGCAAAATCCTCATATTTGCAACAAAACTTTCCCAAACAGAACCTACACATTGAAACTGTCTATCAAAAAACATTATTGTCATCACATTCTAAGATATGAAACTCCTTATTTTGGAATTTATTTTGCAAAGCTTTGTTCATAACTGTCGGTATATGCCTATCAACTATTGCACCTATAATTTAAAGAATGGATAAAATTGTTGGTTGTTCCATATGAAAGGATGACATCCGTCTCGTTTGGTGACATCTTAATAGATTCTTTTGATTATGATGTTATTACATTTTAACACATTATTAAAATGTCTGCTAACTGTTTATAGGGAGTGTTGAAAGAACTCACATAGTTGCTTGTAGCTATGCGCATGTTCAACACCTTAAGAAAATTCCTAACTGCTCAGTTATGAGGATGTTTTTTCTATCATTTAACAGGCCTTTACTAACCAATAAATCTCTAAGTTGCACAAAAGATTCTGGAGAGAGTTGAAAGTAATTGTATGATCTTATATGATATCCTGTGAGAACATCTTTAATATACTGACACCCTATATACGACATGTCAAACATGAGACGACAAATATAGTTGTGATCATCTGATGAACTGTTTCTTTCCACAAATAATGGTGCCAAATCAGCTATCCCAACATGGATTTCTAAATCTGCATAATCATGTCACATATTTCATTAGAAATGACTACCATCAGATGATTAGTCATTGCTAGTTATAAAAAAAATGAAAAAATATAATATTGATAAGGGGGACAAATAATTAAATTTATTGAAGCAAATAAACAATTAAAAATTTAATAGAAAATTCCAGAGATAAAAAAGTGACTCAAGATTTTATGTTTGAATGTGATTTGAAAAAAACTACATACATAGGAATTGAGTGGTATGTATATAAATGGCCCTGAAAGTTATTAAAACATGTTAATTCCTTATCCAATGGTTGTCTATGTTTTTTTTGGATGAAAAATACAAAATTGCTTCCTTATATGATGCCTGAAAAGAAACTCAATCTTATCACACATACAAGCTTTTAAGCATCAAGAGAGATAACAAAAGTCTTTAAACTTCGATAAAAGAAAAACTTCCGCTTCAATCTTATAATAGCTTATCAAATACAAAATTAGAAATATAGTTCATTTTAGGCACAACCGAGCTTGCTTGACTCACTTAAACTCTTTCTACCTCATTACTGTAAACCTATATTATAAAACAACAAGAATTTCCTAAATACGAAATTAAATTACATTCATACAATCCAATTCGTATGAATTTACATTTTTAACATTTCAAATTTACTTTGCAGTATTGATTTAATTTTCTAATTCCTTAATATTTAATGCCAGCTCCTACTACAACTCTCGGCAACGTAATGACTAATTCCATGACACTTATAACATAAATTTGAGAAATTTCAAATTCAAATGTAAAGTATGTTGATTTTACATGTAGCATCTTTATTCACACATATAAAAATAGGGTCATATGCATACATGCCACCAGATTCCTATATATTTATATATCTAACATGTAAACTTTACTTTTTATTTTTATGTTTATAGCACCCATTTATACCACCCTATTCTCTCATATCACATAAAAAATACCACCATTTTAACTTGAAAAAAGTGAAATCCAATTTCTCATGCCGCATAGTAAGGTGGCATGTATGCAAAACTTAATGTTTAGGTGAAAAATGTAAATACATGGAAACTAAGTGGTACGTATGCAAAGCTTCCAATCAATTATCTAGAAACATGTATAACAAAGGCAATTGCATGCGTAGCATTTGTATAATCAGATAGAATTTGATATTCCTAGATCAGATTCGGTGTATGCATATATACATACAAAAAGAGAGATAAGCCTATGTTGACAAAGCACCCCTTCCCCTCCTAAATAAATTTCTTTTTTACATATATAGAATTCTGAAAATCTGTTAGTAGTAGTAGTTGTAACGACCAAAAAGGATAGGACTTCTATAGCAGCACGCATCCACTTCAGGAAGCATTATGGATTACTAAAATTTAAAAGTTAGTTTAACATCTCGAATCAATCTCCCAACGGCTCAGAAAAGCACCCTGCAACAGATCAACAACTATACATTTACAAACCTACCCACCCACCTGCCTCCCAACACCTTCACACGAGAACCCATTTCTTCTTTCTGCTATAAATGCAAAGTTAAGTGGCCAAAGGGCAAAGAAGCAGAGAAAAAAATACAGAAAAAACTGGTTTTTAGAATCTCAATGGAAGCAGAATATGGAGTTCAGGGGAAGGGAGCAAATGCTCTGGTTCATATCCAGGTGAGAAGGATCAAGGAAGAAGATGAGAATAGGAGGCATTGGTTTCTATCTCAGATGCTTGAGATGAAGCCCATGCTCGGAGAGCTCAAGAAACGGGTTAGACAGTCGCCGTTAGGTCAGACGAGGGACACAATCCGAGCTATACCGGTAGGGAACTGAAACGGGCCTGGGCCTGGATCTTCCAATAGGTCAGTCAAGGGACGCGATCCGAGCTATAAGGGTAGGGAGGTGAAACAGGCCTGGATCTTTCATGGGAAGAGAGAACTCCTAGTGCTTGATTTTTATTTTGAATTTTTGGGTATTTTGTATATAATTAGTAGTAGGATTTAGAAGCGTGCTTCCTCCGAATCCCTCCTACTTCATTGATATTGGTTATGTTTGATGCTTTTGATGCAACTATGAGGATTTATTTGTGTTTTTATATAAGATCTCAAGCTGCAAGGAAATAGCATTCAAATGATGAAAGTGCAAAAATAATCCTTGGACTCTTTGCAAGGTCATTTTTAGTCCCTGGGTCTAAGAAGTGTCAATTTAATCCCCAAATAAAGACGACGAATGACTATTTCAGCCTTAATTTAAAGAGTTTGGGAACTAATTTGACACTTTATAGACTCTGGGACTAAAAAGACCTCATGTAAGTAGTAAGGGGGCTATTTTTGGCATTTTACTCATTTTCAAATTCATCCCAATGAGCCACCAAAATGTAATCAGGTAAAAGCTCCTAGAAAACTAAATTAAAAAAAAAAGCAAATTCCAAAACCAGATTAAAAATACTTCCAAGTAGAAAAAGGTATTGTAAAATGATAAAAACAACTCACCTTATAAAGAAGAGAGCAGCTCATTACATTAATGAAACAAAGCTAACATCAGGCAGAAGAATTTTTCTTTGATAGCCTCTTAATTCTGCGAGAAAGATTCCGCATAACGTCGATGATCATCAGCTTCTTCTGCATCCTAAACTGTACTGCCAATTGCATTGAAGGGGAAAGGTTTCCTTTTAAAAGAAAATGCTCTGAGGATGTGGAGTGAAATGAGTAATTATGATGTCATTCCTGACATCGAACATTACATCACAATAATTAAAGGATTGGCGGCGCATGGATGGCTTCCAAAAGCTATGGAATTTTATGGTGAAATGAAATTGAAGGGATTTGCAACTGATCCTGAATTGGAACAGCTCTTTAAGGGCTTTCTTTCGAATAAGAAGAACCATTGCAGCAGAGGTTGAGGGATATAACTCCAGGAAACATGGAAGGAAGAGAATTCCTAGAGGTTTGAAACCTTGATAATTATATTTTTCATATGATTTGGTAGGCATTTTATCATATTAAACGCAATTTTTCTTTGATCCGATTGTTTGATAAGTTTTGCCTTTTCCTATTTGTTTTCCTTTTGGGAAATCCACATATGTACCACACAATTCTTATGGTTTTACATATCTGACATCGAAAGTTTGATATTCATATTTATAACATCTTGGTGCTATAAATCTAAGGATAAAAATGTGCATTTGGCTTTTATGAAGCTAGTAACAAAGATATTTTTGATGTCATGTAAATATTTGAGTGCTGTTAATTATAAGTATTAAAATTTCGGTGTTGGATATGTAAATACATAAGAATTGTGCTGTATGTATGTAAATGCCCCTTTTCTTATCTCGTATTTTTCTTTATTAGCTTTTATTCAATGTTTGTTGAGAAGTGATTAATCCATAGGCACATTTAGTGACTTCTATTATATCTGATTCATAATAGGATTTGTGTTTTTACTGTGTTATTATTTATGAAGAAACCAGTTGGAGGTTAAAGTATCGTACAGAGAAATATCATTGAGATTTTCTTTTTATTCTTCTAAAATTAAACCTTATTCATGGGTTGGAAAAAACTTAAGGCTGGTGAGGTTAAATGTTCATGAGTTATACATGAAATTAAAGCCTCGCAATGCATGCAAGGATAATTAATAGAGCTTATGTGCTTTACAAAAATTTTAAAAATAATATTATTTAGTTCTTTCAGTCTTCTTCCTCATAGACCATAAATTCAAGAACAAATATGTTGAACTATTAAACATCTGTGGTATCATATAATATTATTTGCTTCCACGCACCAAAAGATAATGATGTAGTAGAACATAAGTGTCATCACATTACAATACACACACACACACATTGATGTCTATATTTTGCATACCCTATGGGTTGTTACACTGCTAACCACCATACAACCTTATAAATCACCTATAATCAACAATCACAAAGCTTCTTTTGGCCTATCAAGTAATCTATAATAGACCGCCAACTGCCACCCTCTTCTACCCACGCATACCAAACAATCATAGTGAGCACGTAGACATATTATATTTGAAGAACAACAATTTTTACTCAAACAAATCCCCTCTAGCTTCGTCTTAAACTCAATTTCAATGAATCACTCTCCCCATTCACCCTGATTTTGATAACTCACACAAGACACAAAAACTCTAATATACATTACACACACACACACACACATTAAAAGCATATTATAGCACCATATGGGAAGTATTAAAAGTGCGAATCTTGTATCTCCCTCCGTTGGCCTCTTCAGAGAGAATGGGATGAAAATAAGTTATGGTCTATGAGGAAGAGAAAACTTGATTCAAAGTTTTAATAAATTATACATGCAGTAAATTGAAAGAAGTATCAAGTTTAGGGTCTAACTATAATCTTAAGAAACAATTGATTTGACATCAAGACTTTACACATTAGAAAACTTGACCTCTAAACTTGATACTTCTCTCAATCTTTACAATTTGACACTTCTAAACTTAAACCTGCTACTTCTTCGAGGAGCTTGGAGCTAACTTCATGGGCAACAATCTACAACAACACATCTTTTTCTTAGCATTTAACAACAAACCATAGAATTTCGAGGTTGTACGCCAATTGCGACATAAATCCTCATTTTATTTTTAAGTCTTTGTATGACTCTGCTATATAATATAAGTCCTAACTTGTCTTAGGATTCCGAAGTTGTCGTTAGTTACGATCTAAACTCTCACATCTTCCAGACTATTTGCGTGATCGTTTTTCATGAATGTAAGCCCTAATTAATAAAATTGGCAAGATGGAATGTTTAAATGATTTCTTCCTCGAAATTGAAGTCAAACCATATGATAGTTTGGGAAGTTACCGAGGTTCTCCAGATTCGTGACATCCCCTAATTCTTCTTCCTTTGGATTCCATAATAGATGTTCCAAATTTGAGTCATTCCCATTTCACACTTCTTTTATCTGATCTTTTTGAAAAGTCTTATTCCTTTGAACTTCTTGAAGATGATATCCACTGATTTTTTTTTAGAGTTTTCTTAGGTGACTTCCGTTAGTAATTAACTATAGGGGCTTGCCCTTATAGGAAGCTTTTTCGAACCCAGCTTAATATAAATCCTAGTTAATTTTTCATATTAAATAGGGGAACTAGTCGGCTTATAATAAAATGGTTTCGTAGACCAAACGGATGCCATATATTTCTTAGTCTATTTGATTAAGCCTCACCGTTAAACCATGTGTTTATCTTATGATTTCTTCTTTGAAATTGAAGTCAAACCATAAGATAGTTTGGGAAGTCAGCGAGGTTCTCCTTCGGATCCGTGACATCTCCTAGTTCTTTTTCTTTTGGATTCCATAATAAATGTTTCAAATTTTAGTCATTCCCATTTCACACCTCTTTTGTCCGATCTCTTTGAAAAGTTCTATTCTTTTGAACTTCTTGAAGATAATATCTATTGATTTTTATTGAGAATTTTGTTAGGTGATTTCGGTTATCTAAGATGTAATTAGCCAAGAAGAAACTAACCTTAAACCTCTTAAAATTGTCGACACAATTTTAGGAGGGGTTTTGTGGAAGCTGTCGGTCACCGAAATTGGAATCCCGTCATCCGCTTCGAAGGGACATTTAATTTATAGATATATATTTAGTTTAGAAAAATGTTGTCACCGAAATCGGAATCCCGTCATCCCATATCTTTCATAGTTTAAATGAAAGAGCTCGACACCTTAAGCTACGTATCTATTTTGAAAGATAAACACATGGCTTGACGGTGAGACTCAATCAAATAAACTAAGAAATGTATGACATCTGTTTGGTCCGCGAAACTATTTTTATTATAAGCCGACAATTTCCCCTATTTAATATGAAAAATTAAATAGGGTTTATATCAAACTAGGTTTGGAAAAACTTCCTATAAGGGCAAACCCCTATAATTAATTACATCTTAGATAACCGAAGTCACCTGAGAAAACTCTCGATAAAAATCATAGAGTATTATCTTCAAGGAGTTCAAAAGAATAGGGCTTTTCAACGAGATCAGACAAAAAAGTGTGGAAAAAGGAAATGACTCAAATTTGGAACATATTATAGAATCCAAATGAAGAGAGACTAGGGGATGCCATGCATCCAGAGGAGAACCTCAGCGACTTCCCAAGCTATTCTATGGTGACTTCAATTTCGGAGAAAGATTATTTAAGTGTTTCATCCTGCTAATTTTATTAATTAGGACTTACATCTGTGCGAAATGATCACACAAATAACCTGAAAGATGTGAGGATTTCGGTTGTGAAAAACGACAACCTCATAATCCTAAAACGAGTTAAGGTTTTTATTGTATAGCAGAGTCATACAAAAGTTTAAAGATGAGGTGAAGATTTATGTCGCACTAGGCGGACAACCTCGAAATCCTATGACTTGTTATTTAATGCTAATGAAAAGATGTGCTGTTGTAGATCCTTATGCTATTGTAGATTCCTTGCCCATGAAGTTAGCAGGCTTCTCGAAGTAGCAGTTTTAAGTTTAGAAGTGTCAAATTGTAAAGATTGAGCGAAGTATCAAGTTTAGAGGTTATGTTTTTTAATGTGTTCTCTAATGTGTCCAGTCTTGATGTCAAATCAATTGTTTCCTAAGGTTATAATTATTTAAATATCATAGGGGGGTTAAAGTTGATTAGAGCGACACTGATTAGGATCCCACGGTTCACTCGTTCCGGTATCGCTATTTTCTTTTAAATTTACTTAGTTTAAACGAGTTATGAAACCCATTTAAACTGGAGAGATCTTGTTAGCAACCACGTGTTACCTCCTCCGAGGGACTCCCGTAAATTCAAAAGAGCGTTTTATGTTTAATGACATTTCCAAAGATTTATAGTTACCTTTGAAAGTGTTAAATTTAAATTTGAAAATTGTTGATTAATTTTTAAAAAAGGTTTTATTTTACAGGTGAAGTAACATTCACAACCAAATATGTATAATATTTAAAAGAAAAAATAAATTGCAGCAAAAAAAATAACAGAAAGTTGCTGAAAGAGTAGCTTTCACAACATTTATATATATATGCAAGAAATTGAAACAAGAATAATTGAAGGTGCATCTAACAAACTCCAAGTTATGACACGGAACGTCCCGAAAGATTTTAATAGATGACTTTCTAAAACAAAATACAATAAGTTTAATTTGTCCTTCAAAATATCCAAGAGATTCCAAAGTGTTCGAGGGATGACTCTAGACAACCTTAGAAATCTCTTGAAATGTTTCTAGTTTATTTTGAACTTGTTATATTGTTCTATTAATCATCCGAAGATTGAAACTAAGGTTACCCCATTACCCTGTGAACATTGACATTTTAATTATCTTAAGAAAATCAAGGTAGTCACTTGGCATTCATTTGATAGTTGTATGAGTGGGTGTTCCAAATGACAAACTCAAGGTTATTAAGGACATTTAATACCTCAAATTAAAGTAGGACACAAAGTGTTTGAAAATGTTTATGGGCAATTCATTTATCAAACCTAATTCATTATTAAACCTCTTTTCAATTTCAATTTTCAAAGTAAATTCAAGATAATTAAATATTAAACGAAATAAGATTTCAATTCTCATTAATATCAAACTTAGTATATAACTACCAATTGATGAGCTTTAAGATAGATGAATTAATACTTCATAGCTTAAGCCCATTACTTCAGGATTATCCTATTGAATTGACTTCCAAGTTAAGATGATTAACAAAATTGCACCTATATCCTTATTATGAGGCAAGTGACAAGTTGGTTTCTACCATTTACCCTTTTTAATTTCAATCATCCAAAAATGTTTATTATAATAAATATTACCCTTTTACCCTTTAATTAATCCTAAAATTTAATTAAGGTATTAAATTTCAAAATTACCATTTTGTCCTTAGGGCTCCCCACTTCGTGACTTACAATGGTTTCAAAAGATCAGACCAACAAATAATCACAACT